ATCTGGGAACATTCTTCATTCTTGTATCTCATAAACATCTGGGGTGGGTAAACTAATTCAGATCCCACTTAACAGCCATTTGAGGCTCAGCTGCATGCAGGACACATCCTTTGCTGCTTATCTCAGTATTGGATCAGCAGGGAAGGGAGATCCCCTAATACACATTGGCCTGGAAAACTGATTCTAACTTGGAAGTAAATGTAAAGCCATGTGTTTTTTACAAGTTGCTACAAACGTGACTTTGTAGCCAGACTGTTAGGTCTGCCTGTGATAAATACATGTGGCTGGTGCACAGCCCCAGGTGCAACTTAAGTGCTTGTTTGCGGATCTTTGCAGTACTGCAAGTGCCTCGCCTTAGAGCAGCCTTTCCAGTTCTCTCAAGAAGACATGCCGCGTGTACGGAAGAGGATTTACAAGGAGCTGTGTGAGTGCCGGCTCCTGGACTGAGACTCAGAAGGGACTCTACAAGTCTGACCAAGTTGGAGCAGATGGTTTGTTACTTGAATCTCCAAACATTTATTTGAATTTTTACAGATACTTCAGACTAGTGGTATTGGGCCACTATTATTACCTCAAATTTATTTTTTTGCCCTTTTCATTTCGCCAGCTACCATGTACTTTTTTAAATGTTCAGTTTGGTTTCATTTTTAACGTATGGATCCCATGTGTCCCTCCCATATTTAATATTTATTATCCAAACGCATGCACATAGACAGAGCATGCAGTGAAGAGTATTAAAAAAAGCCTAGTAGATTTGGTGCAGCTTTTGAAACTTAGTTAGACACGAACTGAATACAGGTTTAAACGTTAACCTCAGAACGTAAAAATGCAAGATGTTTCTGTTAGAGTGGAACTCAGAATATTTGTTCCCTGGGGCATAAAGGGTGACTGGGAGTAGCCAGTCCTTTTTTACTTTTACCAGCAGCACTTTTCACTGACTTCCCTCAGAGCATAAGATGCATTCCTTTTGAAGGGTGAGAAGGAAGTAACTAACTGTGTGGCTCTGCTGTGTGTGGAGGCACACTTGCTGGCAAGCACAACTCCTACTTCGGAAGAATTGATTAAGGTGTGAGAAAAAGGTGGCAGCCTTGGGGGACTGTTATCTTAAATGAGATCTCAATCAGGAAATGTAACACATGGCAAAAATCTCATAAAGGCTTTCACTATGATGTTGAATTCCTTGCATTTTTCTGTTCTTGACCTATGAAAAAACTTGGCTTCTATCAAACTAGTGGTCAGACCAATGAGCATTCTTTTCGTTTCTTTCCTTCCTTCCTTCCTTCCTTTCTTTTGTCGTCCCTCAGATCTTCAGCTCAAGGCTAGCGTTCTATCACTTGAGCCACAGCGCCACTTCCAGCTTTTTCTGCTTATGCGGTGTTCAGGAATCAAACCCAGGGCCTCATGCATACAAGGCAAGCACGCTTCCACTGAGCCACCTTCCCAGCCCCCATTCATTCTTTCTTACAAGCAATTTGCAAGTTGTGTCCTGTATGGAAGACATTAAGATTTAACAAATTCTACCCAGAGTATTTGAAGTACAGACTTCAGAATGGAAGACTGACTTCAGGTCTTGCAGGTATGGAGTTCGATGAGTTCAGTACATGTATCACAAGTGTTTCCCTTGTGTCTTCCCTAGTATCTCAGCAACACCTTGGGCTCGTTGGCTTTTGTAAAACCAGTCCTGACACTCCAGCACAGGAGTTGCTTTTTCTCCTTTTAATCAACTTCATCCTGTGGGGACAGGCTGTAAATGTGACCCTCTGCCTTTATACTTAGCTGCATTAAGATATGGACTAGGCCCCAGTGGCTTACATGTAAGCCTAGTTACTCAGTTGGCTGAGATCTTAATTTGAAGCCAGGTTGTACAGAAAAGTCAGTCTCCAAAATAGCAAAAAGCAGGGTCAGAGGCATGGCTCAAGTGGCAAAACACCAACTGAGCAAGTTTGGAGTTCAAACTCAGTACTGGCAAAAAAAGAGGAAGATGAAAGCAAGGGATCTAGCATCTTTAGCCTTTTGTGACATTTAAAAGGAATATATTAAACCTAATTATCTTTTCTCAACTGAGGAAGGAAAATGTGTGTGTATTCAGAAGCTTGTACTGAAAATTATGAAGTAAATGACAAGATACTTGAATTTGCCTGGTTAGGTGTGAATTTATGGCTGAGCAAGGTAGATTGCCCACAATTGAGTGTTGTCAGACTATGTTGACACACAGGGCTCCCAACACCAGTATATGCTTGTCTTGAGTCCTCCACACAGCTTAGCCTGTAATCCTAGTTACTGAAGAGGCTGAGATCTGAGGATCTTGGTTCAAAGCTAGCCTGAATTGTCTTCACTGGAAACTCATATCCAAGTAACCAACAGAAAGCCAGAAGTGGTAGAGCTCAGGTGGTAAAGCACCAGTCTTGAGCAAAAAAGCCAAGCAAGAGAGCAAAGCCCTCAGTTCAAGCCCCATTGAGTAGAGGTACTCCATACGGCTGTAAGGTATCACAACTAAGAACCATGAGAAGAGTGGGGAAAATGCTTTCTTTAGGCTTTGAGACACAATCATGCCAACACAAGATTCTTCTAAATTTGTATACAAGGCATCCTCTCCCCCTTTGTTGGCTATACCAAAGTAGCTAGTAACTAGGCAACTGACTCAAAATATTTTGTAATAAAAATTGTACTTTTAGTGAGCAAGTATCTCTTCTTCCAGTGACAGACCCACCATGTAGGAGAGTTCTCTTGTGAGAATCTTTTGTTGTATTAATTTTAAGATGGGGTTTCACTATGTAGCTCAGGCTGGCCTCAACTTGGGATCCTCATCCTCTTGCTTAAGCCTCTTGGAAATGTAGGCATGCAGCACCATGCCTAGCTCCTGCAGGAATCTTGTTGCCCAGAGTTTGAGTTGCCAGATCCACCACTGAGAATCTGTTGCCATGTCAGCACTGAGGCCCACAGGCACAAGTAGAGGCCTGAGCTATCCATCTAGTTACTCTTTCACTTCCAGCATGATAGGCACCCCCAGGTGTGCCTCCCAGCATGGCTTAGCCTAAATGTTGAATATTTTCAGTCTGTTTTAAATACATTTCTGTCATTCATGAAACTTGGTTCTAGCATCTTTGTTTTTCTCTATGATCTGTGATTAGTATAAACTTCTATTTATAAATGCTCAAGTCCTAGAATAGAGAGTCTTTTATCTTGTTTGCAGTAATTGCTTTCTTGCACCAAGCACATTTCTGAAATATACTCTGGGCTGTTGGTGAGACAAGCATTGCTTTACTGTCCCTAGCTTGGCACAGAATTCTTCAAGTCTACCACAAAGTAGGCAGCCTGTGCCACTGGGATTGAGTGCAGGCCTTGCAAGCTGCCCATGCCTCTCTATCAGGGTCTAGTTGCTTCTTTCTAGTAGCCTTTCTTTCTGTTAAATTTGTAGCAGTGAATTTAGATTAACTCAACTTTTTAGTATTTACAAGAATCATAGAGAATCAAATTTCAGTTAGTCTTAAGGGAAAAGAAGCTGCTGTTGCCAATATTTATTTGCCTTTATTTTCTGCTTACCACTGAATACAAGTAACACTCATCTTCCATTTATAGTTTAAATAAAACAGTAACAGACCTAACTGGGACACAGCACTCACCCAATCTGAGTTACCCCTTTTCTCTTCAATTGTGCTTCACTGCTTCCCTGGGTTACATGTAATTGTGGATCTGAGTGGGTCAGGCCCTTCAGGTGAACTAACAGTGTGATTAGCTATACTATCTATTCTGCTTCATTATGTTAAGAAACCAAGTTAATTAACAGTTTTAAATAAAGTACATACTTTGTTATGTGCTAGGCTCTGCCTCCTGGCCTGTAATACCTAGGGAATACCATCAGAGAAGTGCTAACTGTATTTGGTTGTTCCAAAAGCAGACCATGATAAGTTGTTTACTTAAATGGTACCTGTTGGTCAGACAAAGAATTTATTAAAAGATTATGATCATGTGAAATTGCAGTACTCAACCCTTCTAGCAAAATATTTTTTTGAAAAATAAAATACCTTTATAAATGTGTGTTCTCTTTGTGTTGAATAATGTGCACTATTTGGTGAATAGTGTATTTTCTTAGTAACAATCCAGTTGTGGCAAGGCTCTGTTAAGAATAGTGACCAGTGAAAAATGAACTTTACAACTTTGGTGGGGGGGAGGGATAATACGAAGGGATGGGAAGGGGAAACAAAGGAAGAGGCTACAAAGCTTGATAAGAAATGTACTCATTATTTGCCCATGTAATTGTAACCCCTCTGTACAGTATTTTCACAATTAAAAAAAAAAAAGAATAGTGACCAGTGTAGGCCCTCACCACCTTACTTACTCTTAGATTCATTAATACAGTATTCAAGTGCAAGGCCTTGGATTCAATCTTCCATTATCACTCAAACTAGCCATGTGTGGCTACTGATCATTTAAAATATTGTTACTGTGACTGAGAAATTCCATGTTTAGATTTATTTTTGTTACACAGCCACAGCAAGTGGCTACTGTACATGGTACTAGATCTCTAAAGTTTGACATATTTGCTAACAATGTAGAGAAGGACCCAATAATCCCTACAGGCCCCATTCTGACTAAATCTGACCCTTTGCTATCAATCACAGTCTCAAATGTCTGAACATATGTCTGAGTTCTTTCTCTAAAGTAAGAAATGGGTCACATGTTCTTCCTGAAATAAGAAAAGTGGTGTGACATTACAGCATCCTCAAGAAACACCAGGCCTTCTTCATCCTTCCCCTCCAATCATCCATAGCACATGTTTCCTGGAAATCTAACCAACTGCCAATAGTTGTTGGTACACCTTTTCTTTGCACAAGAACATCCATAATCTGCCTTCAGATGAAGCCATAACCAGATGCAAATGTGAAGCTGAAATACCCATAAAAATTCTGTATTCATGGATTCTCTCCAAATTCATGTATACAGTCCAGAGTAAAAACAGTTCAGAACACATCTTTCTGTATAGTAAGGAAACAGGCAAAGAGAGTAATTGGTCCAACTTTATTGAAACCTGTTACAGAAGACACAATCAAGTAAGAACCACTGTCTGGGTTTCAAGGCCTGTAGAAATCTGAGTTACATTTTACTACAAAGTATAAAATACATTAATCCAAACTACAGTGTAAAAATAAACTTTAAAACAAAGTGTATCTTCACTGAATGTTGTTACAGCTCTTTAGAAAAATCAAGCAGTTTTAAATTTTAAAAAATTCACTTACTATAAACATGAAAGATGTTCACACTGAAGAACTTCAGCCCAAATCTTTACAAACTAGTGGAAGTTAGAAGATTCTTCATTGCTGGATGAAAATTTTTTTTTTTTTCACATTAGAGACAAACTACCTCTTGCCTTACAAATGGAAAATAAATTCACTAGACTCCACTCTGTACAAACGACCAGCAGCTCACTATTAAGAGTTGAACCTCAGTAGCACTAATTGGGAAAAATATGAATGCAGACGTTAACCTGAGAATTGGCTGATATAGACACTTCCTGCAGGAAGCATCTCTGGATGCTTTTGTTAAGCATTCTCTTAAATTCTCAAACATTTAAAACCCATTCGAGGGCTCAATTAGTACAGCACTTGCCCTAAGTTCCACCCCCAGTACTGCAAAACAATGAAAAAAAAAAATACAATTGAATGATGTTTCCACGATCATTCTGGAAATGGAAAGAGTAAAGTTGATGGCCCTGGCAGCAATGTCATGTCAAAGTAATGTTTTACCTCTCATCTGGTGATCTCTTGCTATTTCACTCCATTTCCTATTGCCAGTGCACCTTTATTTTATTTTATTTTATTTAGGGTACCTGAGGTTCTCTGTATTACAATAAACACTTTTTCTTTAGGTAAAGCATTTACATCTTTTTATTCTCCAAGTCCTGCACCTAATTTTCTGAGAGGTAAAGCAAGCAGTATCCTCAAGACCTTTTGAAAAAAGTCTTGCTTTTTTAAAAGCAAACTATTTGTAAAGGTCTTTAACCTCCAAGTTTGCCTTTAGAGATTAGAATTCAACCTAGAAAACAAAACCAGTTGTCAAGCACCTGTTCCTAACTTAGAGCAGACCTATACAACATAACAAAACCCTGTTTAGTAAGCTTTCTAGGGATAGAAGATATCAGGATCTCATGCTTCCTAGGCAAAACCTCTCTTTCAACTCCTATTACACGTATCTCATGCCTTTTAATTTATGTGTTTTAAAAATTGTTTTCAATTTAAAATTAAATACAGGCCCCATGAAAATCATGAACCTTCTTAGACTCAAGCATAGTAAAACAAGTTTTTGCCCTTACCTAATCTGCCAAAAAAAAAAGGATATGTATTTTGATAAGTTAGTCAAAGTTATAGATCAAATTTGTTGCTAAGGAACACAATTTCTGAGCTGGTAACAAAACCATTCTGATGGCCTGACACATGTCCAGAATTCTAAGACTAGAATTAAAAGCACTGGTCTGGAATTCTGTCCTTTTTACTGTTTCAGAAGAAAACCATGAAGGAGCTACTAGCTCAGTAAACACTGATCAGACCTTGGCTAATGTTCTTCAGCAAATTCAACAGGCCAAAGGATAGAGTTGTGCATAGATGAGGCTCTCACCACTCACTGGTTTTGTGCCAGTTTTCCATAGCCGCCTCTTCCAGCATCATAATCCTTCCGATACTCATCTCGAACCTTAATAGAAAAGAACATAACACTGCTGTAAATTGGCTTAATACAACTCCCACAGTTAACACATCAGACATTCAAATGACACAAGTATTAGGTCCTTTATTTTTGCCAGTCCTAGGGCATGAACTCAGGGCCTAGGCACTGTCCTTGAGCTTCTTTTGCTCAAGGCTAACACTACCACTTGATCCACAGTGCCAATTCTGGCTTTTTCTGTTTATGTAATAACAGAACCTAGGGCTTCACGCACACCAGGCAAGCACTCTACCACTAAGCCACATTCCCAGCCCAGGCCTTTTAAAACTCATCTTAATGCATTTTTCTTTTGTTCTTAAATCCCAAGTGGGAAACATTAGGCCACAGAATCATTTGGCACATGATAACGTTTATCCTATGTTCATCTTCCTGTACTGATAATTATTTTTTGTCAGTTATGGGGCTTGAACTCTGGGCCTGGCTGCTGTCCCTCAGTTCTTCAGCTCAAGGCAAGCACTTTACCATTTCAGCCACAGCGCCACTTCTGGTTTTCTGGTTTATTTGGAAATAGAGTTGGAAATAGAGTCTCATGGACTTTCCTGCCCCATCTGGTTTGAACTGTGATCCTCAGATCTCAGCCTCCTGAGTAGCTAGGATTATAGGTGTGATCCACACGTGCCTGGCTCTCTCCCTTTTTTTATTGTCGGTTGTGGGGCTTGAACTTAGGTAGTAGGCACTGTCCCTGAGCTCAAGGCTAGCACTCTACCACTTTGAGCCACAGCACCACTTCTGGTTTTTTAAATTATTAATTGGAGATTAGAGTTTCACAGGGACTTTTCTGCCAGGGCTGGCTTTGAACTGTGATCCTCAGATCTCAGTCTCCTGAGTAGCCAGGATCATATGCATGAGCCACTGGAGCCTGGCTTCCCTAACTTTTTGTCTAAAGTGGCCTGAAAAGAGTGAACTTCTGTTCTGTACCTTCTAATTAATTAGTCCTGATTAGGATTACAGGCCTGAGACACACCATCTAGCCTTTTTGTTTTTGTTTTTTTTTTGGTCTGGTCGTGGGGCCTGAACTCTGGGCCTGGGCGCTGTCCCTCAGCTCTTCAGCTCAAGGCTAGCGCTCTACCACTTGAGCCACAGCGCCACTTCCGGCTTTTTTCTTTTTGCTTATGTGGTGCTGAGGAATCGAACCCAGGGCCTCAAGCATGCAAGGCAAGCGCTCTACCACTGAGCCACCTTCCCAGCCCCTTTACTTAAGTTTAAAATAGAAAATTATTAGGAATGTTGAACATGCTTGTAATTCCAACATTCAACTCTTGAAAAGCAGAGGCAGAAAGATCTTGAGTTTTGAGAACACCTAGGATGATGATGATGATGATGATTTTTGTCAGTCGTGGGTCTTGAACTCTGGGCCTGGGCGCTGTCCCTCAGCTCTTCAGCTCAAGGCTAGAGCTCTACCACTTGAGCCACAGCGCCACTTCCGGTTTTCTGGTGGTTTATTGGACATAAGAGTCTCATGGCCTTTCCTGCCTGGGCTGGCTTTGAACCGTGCCTCAGATCTCAGCCTCCTGAGTAGCTAGGATTACAGGGGTGAGCCACAGGCGCCCGACCCACCTAGGATTCTTTTTTTCTTTTTTCTTTTGGTCCGGTCGTGGGGCCTAAACTCTGGGCCTGGGCGCTGTCCCTCAGCTCTTCAGCTCAAGGCTAGTGCTCTACCATTTGAGCCACAGCGCCACTTCAGGCTTTTTTCTTTTTGCTTATGTGGTGCTTAGGAATCGAACCCAGGGCCTGAGGCATGCAAGGCAAACACTGAGCCACCTTCCCAGCCTTACCACCTAGGATTCTTGAAACAAGTTCCAGAACATAATAGGCTACATGGAGAGAACCTGTCTCAAAAATAAATAAATAAATAAATAAATGAAGAAGGAGAAGAAGAAGAAGAAATAAAGATCAAAATTAGTTGGTGGTTTTTGCCTGGGCAAAAGGATAAAGGATAGACGTAAGTTGGAAAAACAACAACAACAACAAAAAAAACCTCCTGCATTTTAACTAGAATCCCAGGCCAAGATCAGCTCAAAGACACTTTCAAAATACCTGGCTCCAGATCACTCACAAAGACATTTCTAACATACCTGGCCCCCAGATCGCCCACGTCCATACTGCCTGCCCTCCTTAAAGCCTGCATCCCAGTCTGTGCGAATTATCCGGTCATCCAGACGAGTTCCATTTATGTAGCGCATAGCATTTTCTGCATCTGCTCTTGAATAGTATCTTAAGCATAAGCATTAAGGAAGCATCATCTAAATGAAGCTGAGTAATTTCAAAGACAATTCAGCTGGCACAGAATGTTGGGGGAGGGGGCGTTAGTCCAGAAGCACTTAGGAAAGGCAATATGACACTTATCTAGAGCTACATTGGTCATGATTTCCTGTATATTCCTGTTAATTTCTAATTCCATTGTCCTCATGTTTTTGGTGGGGGGGATCAGTTGTGGGGCTTGAACTCAGGGCCTGGGTGCTATCCCTGAGCTCTTTTTGCTCAAGGCTAGTGCTCTGCCACTTTGAGCCACAGCGCCACTTCCAGTTTTCTGAGGTGGTTGCTTGCAGATAAGCATCTCACAGACTTTTCTGCAGGGGCTGGCTCTGAACAGCAACCATCAGATTTCAGCCTTCTGAGCAGCTAGAATTACAGACATGAGCCACCAGCCTGTCCCTATATTTTGGTTTGCACAACAAAAAATGTTTAGTGCATGGCCTGGAAATGTGGCTTAGTGGTATAGTGTTTGCCTAGCTTGCATGAAGTCCTGGGTTCCATTCCTTAATACCACATAAGCAGAAAAGGCAAGTGGTGCTGTGGCTCAAGTGACAGTGTGCTATCCTTGAGCAAAAGATGCTCAGGGACAGTGCTTAGGCCCTGAGTTCAAGCCCCAGGACTGGCAAAAAAAAAAAAGGTTTAGTGCAGGTGTTGATCACAAATCATACATATTTTATTCAAGAACTACCTTCATGAAAAGATTTGGCTGGGAGTGATGGTAATCTCAGCACTCAACCTGCTGAGGAAGATGACAGGGGAGTACAAGGCCAGCCTGGGCTACATCCTGAATTTGATGCCAGTGAGGGCTACAGGCTACAAAGTAAAACCCTATCTCCAAATGAAAAAGGGGGGGGGGGTCGGGAAGGTGGCTCAGTGGTAGAGCACTTGCCTTGCATGCTCGAGGCCCTGGGTTCAATTCCTCAGCACCACATAAGCAAAAAGAAAAAAAAAAGCCAGAAGTGGCGCTGTGGCTCAAGTGGTAGAGCACTAGCCTTGAGCTGAAGAGCTGAGGAACAGCGCCCAGGCCCAGAGTTCAGGCCCCACAACTGGACCCAAAAATAAATAAATAATTTTTAAAAAATAAAAAAATTTAAAAATTAAAAAAATTTAAAAAAAGGGGGGGGGCAGGCTGATCCTAGAATGTAACTCAGTGAAGTGCTGGATAGTGTGGACTCAAGTCCTCAGTACCCTAAAATGGATGAAAAGGGTCATGGTATATATGGAGTTCTCACAGCATTTCTTTTTTTTTTTTCTTTCCAGTTGGTCATGGGGTGTGAACATGGGCCGAAACTGGCTTAACCTGGGACCTGGGTGCTGTCCCTGAGGGATAGCACTCTACCAATTAAGTTACAGCACCACTTCCGGTTTTCTAGTGGTTAATTGAAAATAAGAGTCTCATTGACTGCCTGTACTGGATTTGAACAGTGAGTCTTATATTTCGACCTTCTGAGTAGCTAGGATTACAGACATGATTCACCAGCACCCAGCTATCCCACAGCATTTCATTAGAAAGATCTGAAGTACTATCACAGCAATTCTACAGCCCTGTTTAATCAGATCTACTTAGTATGATTTATTTTTAATATCTCTTAACTAAATATGGTGATTTGGTTTTAGAAAATGCTATTTTTTTGTATTTATACAAATAAGGAAATATTTAGTAAAATTTTAGTAAACAACATCTAGATAATGCTTAGAACATAGTAGGCATTCAAAAGGTTTCTGTCTAGTTAGGGAGACTGTTCAAGTAGTAGAGCACCTGCCTAGCAAGCGCAAGGCTCCAAGTTCAAACCTCAATACAAGAAAGAAATTCTGCTGAATGAATATATTGGATGCTGGAATGAACACAATAAATGCTCAAAACACAAAAGCCAGCTGTCGATAGTAGCCTTTCTTTTGGGCACTCATCATCATGACTGTTGATCTGTAAGGCAAGTGGAAACACTGTGGTTCTTAGGAAGTGCTTATCTAGTAGATGGAGCACTTTGTCTTACCCTTCTCACTTTGTCTCCTATGGACTCTTTTATGCCACTGCAGCCAGAAGTCAAAACCTGAGAAATCTCACTCTTCTATCTAGAGAGATACAAGAAATTTGCTTGGTTCCAAAATCAAGACTTTTGCTTGGCCCCAAAATTCCAACTGTGGCTGCGTGTATTGAGTTGAACCCAGGAGTTTGGGGTCAACCTGGGCAACACCATATTTTAGGAAAAAAATATTAAAAAAATCCTAAGTGTGAGACTGGGGATGTAGCTCAGTAGTAGAGAGCTTCCTAGTATATATGAGGTCCTGTGTTAAATTCCCAGCACTGGGAAGAAAACAAAAAAAAACTATGTGCCGTACATTACCACATACCAATATGACTGTTTCTCAAAATACGTTCATTTTTTTTGTCAGTTGTGGGGCTTGAATTCAGGGCCTAGGTCCTGTCCCTGAGCCTCTTTGTGCTCAAGGCTAGCGCTTTACCACTTTAACCACAGTGCCACTTCTGGTTTTTGAGTGGTTGATTGGAGATGAGTCTCATAGGCCTTTTCTGCCCAAGCTGGCTTTGAACTTCATCCTCAAGATCTCAGCCTCCTGAGCAGCTAGGATTACAGGTGTGAGCCACTGGCATCTGGCTGGAACTACTTCTGGGGAAAGCAGTTCATGGTTGAGAGTGGTATGGGGTTTTCATTTTCCCCATACCTTTAGGATAATTTGTTTACCTCTCTATCCCCAGTAGTGCAGATTGAACTCAGGGCTTTGGCTTTGCTGGGTAAGCATCCTACCATTTGAGCCACAACCCCTGTCCTGGGCATTTTTTTTTTGTCAGTGCTGGGGCTTGAACTCTGGGCTTGGGCTCTGTCCCTCAGCTCTTCAGCTCAAGGCTAGCATTCTACCATTTAAGCCACAGCACCACTTCCGGTTTTCTGGTGATTAATTGGACATAAGAGTCTCATGGACTTTGCTGCCTGGGCTGGCTTTGAACTTAATCCTTAGATCTCAGCCTCCTGAGTAGCTGGGACTATAGGCATGAGCCACCGCTGCTCATCCTGGGCAATTTTTTAAAATACGAAAGACAATATATTTGGGATAATGGATAATGGATAATAATTGTTTTTCTTAAAATATCAATAATGAACAAAACATGAAATTCAGAATAGAATGTAATCATCAGTTTTCCTAATGTAAGAGTGTAACAATCTAAAAAGAAGAGGTAGAGATAAATGTAGGGATGCTAATAAACTAACACTTGAATTTTCAAACACAGTCATTGGAAGCCTGGCTAAAGTACTAGAGCACCAGTCGTGTGTGAAAAAGCCAAGAAAGAATGTGAGACCCTAAGTTCAAGTCCCAGTACTATCTCTCTCTCTCTCTCTCACACACACACACACACACACACACACACACACACACACACACACACACTCTCTATTCAGCTTTACATTTCAGTGGCTTCAACATCTACATTAGACACCTAGGAAGGATACTCTACAAAACAAAATCCACATGCTGTTTTTTTCACTTTATCCAGGCCCATAATGATCTTCTTTATGTCACCACTTTTGCTGAAGAGCTCATAAATTTGTTCTTCAGTTGTGTAAAAGGAAAGATTTCCAACATATAATGTACAGCTTTTCTTCAGTAGTTTTTCTTGTTCTTCATTGTCCCCCTAGAAATTCAAAGAGACAAGCATTACTACTTAAAAAAAAAAAAAAAAAAGACCTCAGGGCTGGGAAGGTGGCTCAGTGGTAGAGCGCTTGCCTTGCATGCCTGAGGCCCTGGGTTCGATTCCTCAGCACCATATAAGCAAAAAGAAAAAAGCCAGAAGTGGTGCTGTGGCTCAAGTGGTAGAGCGCTAGCCTTGAGCTGAAGAGCTGAGGGACAACGCCCAGGCCAAGAATTCAGGGACCACGGCTGGACGCCCCCCCCCCCCCCCAAAAAAAGACCTCTACTTAAGCGTGGTACTAGTGGCTCATACCTATATAATCTTACCTACTCAAAAGGGTGAGATCTGAGGATCACAGTTAAAAGGTAGACTGGGGGGCTGCAAAGGTGGCATAGTGGTAGAGTGCTTGCCTTGCATGCATGAGGCCCTAGGTTTGACTCCTCAGCACCACATAAGCAGAAAAAGCTGGAAGTGGTGCTGCAGCTCAATGGTAGCATGCTAGCCTTGACAGCTCCCAGGCCCAGAGTTCAGGCCACATGACTGACAAGAAAAAAAAAAAAAAAAAAAAAAAAAGCTGGGATGGGGACATCTCTAAAACGTGAGCTGGAAACATGGCTCAAGCAGAAAAGTGGTACCCAGGATTATTATTATTATTTATGTATTTACGTATTTATTTATTTATGTCAATCATGGGGCTTGAACTCTAGGCCTGGGTGCTCAAGGCAAGTGCTCTATCACTTGAACTATAGCACCACTTCCAGTTTTGATTGGAGATAAGAGTCTCACAGATTTTCCTGCTTGGCCTAGTTTTGAACTGCAATCCTCAGATCTCAGCCTCTGGAGTAGCTAGGATTATAGGCATTAGCTACTAGCGCCCGTCTAGCCACCGTTTTTTGTTTGTTGTTTGTTTTGTTTTTAAAGCAAAGCAGGCTGGGAATGTGGCTTAGTGGTTGAGTGCTTGCCTATGAAGCTCTGGGTTTGATTCCTCCGTACCACATAAGCAGAAAAAGCCGGAAGTAGCGCTGTGGCTCTAATGGTAGAGGACTGGCAAAACAAAACAAAACAAAAAAAACAAAGCAAGAGATAAAGACCTAGTAATAACACCACAAAAAAAAAAAGGCTCTTGCTAAAATAATACTCATGAAGTGTGACAGGCATTAATTTTGATGTGGAAATCTAATTCATCATCTCAATCCACAAATCCTTTAACTTAAAAAAAGGAGTATATGGGCTGGGGAAGTGGCTCAGTGGTAGAATGCCTGCCTCTAGGACATTTCCCAAGCCCAGAGTTCAGGCCCCACGACAGACCAAAAAAAAAAAAGGGGGGGGGGGGATGTCCACATTCTATGAAGGTTTACACACATGCAAACATGGGTGTGGGTGCCAGCCCTGGGTTCTGAACTCAGGGTCTGAGTGGGTTTTGAACTCAGGGTCTGAGCACTATTCCTGAGCTTTTGTGCTCAAGTCTAGTGCTCTATTACTTTGAGCTACAGCACCATTTCCAGCTTTTTGTTATTTAATTGGATATATGACTCACAAATTTTCCTGCCTGGGCTAGCTTTGAACTATGATCCTTAGATCTCAGACTCCTAAGTAGCTAGGATTACAGCCACCAGGTCCCAGCTGGTAAATTAAGTTAATTTACATTTTACAGAGGGTTTTACTGTTACATTTCCACAGGTTTGACCCTTCTCTAATGGCAAGTTTAAATTCCAGACCCTGACTCAGTATCTTAAAAAGGTTCTTTTATCCTCAGAAGGAAAAAAACAAACAGATCTTCACAGGTAGCATTTCCCTTGTAATACTCCCATAGAGACTGTATCAGTCCAACAACAGCTTAGATGATTTGCATACTCACATTATTTTTCTCTGCATGTAGGAGAAAGTTTAGTAATTACTAAGAACAAAAGCTCTTACAAATTGAGAGTATGGGTCAAGTTTGCTAGGCAAGCACAAAGCCCTGAATTCAATCCCCAGCCACTGGGGCACCAGTGGTTCAAGGCTATAATACTAGTTACTCTGGAAGCTGAGATTTGAGAATCACAGTTTAAAAGCAGCCTGGGCAGGAAACTGTGAGACTCACCTCCAATTATACTAAAAAGTTGGAAGTGGAGCCATGGCTTAAATGGTAGAGTAACACCCTTGAGCACAAAGCTGAGGGACAGTACTCAGGCCCTGAGTTCAAATCCCAGGATGGGCATATACACAAAACTTACTCTTTCTCCCCTCCTTTCCCTCCCAACCCCTACCTCTCTGTAGGCTAGTACTCTACAATTTGAGCCACACCTCAGCTTTTAAGAGATTAATCAGAGATAAGAGTCTCAAGGATTTTCCAGCCTGGGCTAGTTTTTCTTTTTGAGGAAAGAGGTCTTAGCTGGGTGCCAGGGGCTTATGCCTATAATTCTAGCGACTCTGGAGGCTGAGATCTGAGGATTGTGGTTCAAAACCAGCCCTGGCAGAAAAGTCCCCGTGAGACTATCTCCAATTAACCACTCAAAAACTAGAAATGGAGCTGTGGCTCAAAGTGGTAGAGCACTAGCCTTGACCAAAAGAATTCAAAAGAGTTCAGGGACAGCACCTAGGTCATGAGTTCAAGCCCCAGGACTCAGAGGAGAAAAACGAGAGAGAGAGAAATAGGAGGTCTTTTGTGTTGCCCAGGCTAATCTTTTTTTTTTTTTTTTGTCGATTGTGGGGCTTGAACTCTGGGCTTGGGCGCTATCCCTAGCACTCTTCGGATCACGGCGAGCGCTCTACCGCTTGAGCCACAGTGCCACTTCCGGTTTTCTAGTGGTTTATTGGAGATAAGAGTCTCACGGACTTTCCTGCCCGGGCTGGCTTTGAACCGTGATCCTCAGATCTCAGCCTCCTGAGTAACTAGGATTACAGGTATAAGCCACCAGTGCAAGGCCCCAGGCTAGTCTTTTTTTTTTGTCTGTAGTGGGGCCTGAACTCTGGGCCTGGGTGCTGTCCCTCAGCTCTTCAGCTGTAGACTAGTGCTCTACCACTTGAGCCTCAGCCCCACTTCTGGCTTTTTCTGCTTATGTGGTGCCAAGGAATCAAACCCAAGGCCTCAGGCATGCAAGGCAAGCACTCTACCACTGAGCCACCTTCCCAGCCCTCCACGCTAGTCTTAAACTTGTGATCTTCCAGCCTCCCAAGTAACTGAGACTATGAGATTATACTACCATATCTGGCTAGCAGTTTCACTTTGCACTACTAATCTGTTAAAAATTATGGGCAAGAAGCATCTTTTTCTACTTTTCTCAAATGTGTAAGTACTGTCAAACAGCCTATGACTTAAGGCAACTGTGATTTATGTAGTTATTTAAGGGATGATATTAATATGGATTTCATTCAGTATACCAAGAATTCCACAAGGCAATTGCTGTTACTGTCTAAAGAAAGTTATTGGCTTTAGACTAAAGAGATGCATCTTTCCACATTCTTAATCTTGCAACATGCTTTAAGTTCAAGATAGTTATGTGGTCATTACCTTACTTGTGTGACTGTAACCCCCCTTTTCAAAAAAAAAAAAAGAACTTGTAAAAATGATAGAAATGAATGAAGATTATGCCTAGTCCACAGTAAGCACTTAAAAACTGTGGATTGGGAATTAGGACTGGGAATGTGGCTTAGTAGTAGAGTGCTTGCCTAGCATTCATGAAGCCCTGGGTTCGATTCCTCAGTTCCAAATAGAAAAGGCCCGAAGTGGACTGTGGCTCAAATGGTAGAGTGCTCTAGCCTTGACCTTGTTTCCATTTACATGCCATCAGGAAGGATTGAGTTCCTTAGGGTATAGAACTTTCCCATTTAGTCTTGGAAGGCTTCTATTTGTTTTTACAAACATACATACATAATCTATTTACGTAATGGCCAAAAGAGAGGTTGGAACAGAGAGCAGGTGGCTCCATCGCTTAATCCATGCCCATAGCCCACGGGAAGTCTTCAGAATAGCACTTAAGTATACTTAACTTTTGAGTGGTGCTCCATCCTGTCCCACCCTGGCCCTTACTGATACAAAATCGCTCACATGTAGTCATTTTCCATAAAGCAAATACACTATGACATAGACTAAACTTAAATTTTTCCTCAGGTCTGGGGAGATTTAAGTCTCAGCTCTGCAAGTACTTTCCCTCTTCTGATCCTGACATGCGGACACTCTCAAAGTGCCTAGCAGGACCTGTCTCTTCCTCAAGTGAGAGACAGAACTCAACCTGGGAGTCTTCTGCCCATAAGTAGAATGTTTAGCACCATCCCACAGGAGAAAAGACGGAGATTCCAGTGCCAGGGTCACCTCCCCATACCCTGGGAGTGATCTCACCACACACTTTCGCCCATGGAGACAGCGCTCCCGCTAGTCCCATGGCTGCAGCCTCCTGCACTGGCCTAGGCACAGACAATGAACAAGCGAGCTCCTAGCTCCCTAGGAGACAAGGTGCCTTATCCAAACACCCTTCCGCATCCAGCTGCAGCCTCCCCGTGGGCACCGGGGCCCACATCGCGCTTCCCGACGCCGGCAGAGCGGGGACGACACAATAAGACAAGTATACACCGTTTCTCAGAGTTCGGACCCAAGGCTGGCCCGGCTCGCGGCCCCTGTCCTCACCCGGAAATGCTGGTCGCGGTACTGGCTGAGCTCCACGTAGGAGTCGCTGCTCAGCGCCTTCAGTAGGCCGCCGGACATAGCGCCGAGAGGCGGACAGGAACCAGGGCCCGAGAAACACGCCGGCCGACGCGGCGGAAGCGGAAACCTAGGGCGAAGGCGGCGGGAGGTGGGAGTCGTCGCGTCCAATCAGAGCACGGTCGTGTCGTCATCTCGCCGCGCGGACGCAGATGTGTCCGACGTCCCACACGGCCGGTCGGAAGGCGGACGCTCAGAGTGCCGGGTTCCGGTGCTCCAGGGTGAGGGAGGATGGTTCTCCGGCAGCTGCTGGCAGCTCTGCTGCACAGCCCACAGCTGGTGGAGCGGCTGTCGGAGTCTCGGCCTATCCGGCGCGCGGCGCAGCTCACAGCTTTCGCCCTGCTCCACGCGCAGCTGCGAGGCCAGGACGCGGCCCGCCGCCTTCGCGCTCTCGCGGCCGGCCCCGCGGGCTTTCTGGGTCGCCGCGCTGTACGCTTCCGTGACGCCTTCTCCCAGGAACTGCGCGACGGCCTCCGGGACCGTCCCCGACCACCACCGGGTAGCCAGAAGCGCCCCGGCACACGCTCTTAAGATCTGTGGCTGGGTCTGGCTGAGGTCACCGACTTTCCCTTCACTGCTCGATCCTGACCTTGGCGTGAAGGAGTTCTCTAGGGCCCCACGCATGCCTTCGGATTCTGAGGTCGTCGGCCTTCAGACCTCTCGCTAAGAATTCTGGCCAAACCCATATCCACGTTGAAGCCCCAGATTGGAGAAAGATTCCCTAAGTCTGGCAGATAAATATAGACTGGACCCAAACGACGCACGTACGACAGCCATGGACCCACAGCCAGCCTGCCTGCCCGCCCTCTACAAACGGGACTGCACTGGTGCAGCAGGGTGCTGATTCCAGGGAAGATAAGACGATGGGTGGAAAGACAAGCCTTCAGCTGCCAAATTCTCTCATTAAACGTGTGAGCTTACTCGTAAGCATAAGCGTGGTACTTCTCCGACAAGATGGATTAGGAATACTGGGGGTTGTAGGTTCGTGTTAGTATTTATCAACATGTTGGTGTCTATTCTGTGCTGGCACTTGCTAATTACATTCTGTGTGGCTCGTCTCGCTTCTTACAACCACAGACATGGGAGAAAAATGGCCATTTCTCAAGTTGCCCAAAGCTTTGCAGTAGAGTGAAGGCACCCATTTGGCTCCAGGGCCCATGTCCTTAATTACAGTCCTCTGCAGTATTTCCCCTGATCTTTTGGGACTGCCTTTTCCATTACCACCGGGCAGTGAAACTATTATTACCTACCATGAAACAATCTAGCAGAATTCCTATTCCCCAGTTTTGAAGATCTAGGATGCAAACTACTATCAGCTTCCCATGTTTAGGAAATCCATATTCTATGTAATTTTCTGTAATGATCTATGTAATGAACTCTCTAGATCCAGTAGCCTTGTCCTTACACCCATCAACTTCTTTTGAGGCTCCTCAGTAAATTTCTGAGTTAATCATGAAATCTCATTGCCTTATTGGTATTTGTTATTTCCTATGCTGAGGTATAAACTCAGGGCTAGGCAAGTGCTCTTCCACTGAGCTATATTCCCAACCCCTAATCAAGAAATCTAGAAAATTTGAAACTATAGAGGAAACATGGGCTTTTACCAGCTACTGAGCATCATGTGGTCTTAATTTCCACAGGGTCAGGTTGACAGGGTGTAAGAGTGTGTGTGGTCAGAAGGGGAAACACTGAGCTCCTTACTCTGGGAGAATAATTTGTGTGCTTGTGTGAGTGTGTGTGTGTGTGTGTGTGTGTTGGGGATTCAACCCAGAGTCTTGAGCATGCTAAACCAGCCCTCTACCAAAAAGTTACATTCCCAGGCCCTGGGAGAGTAATTTTTAAAGACAAGGAACAGAAATGGCTAGAGTCTCCTACCACTTACTGGATAGAAAAGTAGAATACTATGGAGAAAAGGAGAAAATTTTCAAAATTACTTGTTTGGGGAATAACCAAATACTGTGACAGTAGGCACCAAAATAGCCTTAAATAACATAATTTCCACTTGTATGGTTTAAGAGCTTGTGAGAGAAATGCTCTTCGAGCCTGAGAACATACTGTAACTCCAAGAATGACAGTACTTGCAGTGGATACCTCAGAGTTCCTCTGATCTGTTGTGTAGACTAAGCAGTGGGTTGGGGCTTTCGCAAGGTAGTGAATGGCAGGGATTCGATCTTAGATCCTCTGAATCCCAGCTACCGTACTATGTCTCCCAAGTGTTTAGAAGGCCCATTGACCTTGTCATGATAGCAAGCGGTAAGGCATCGTGGAAAGTTTGAGAGGTCATTCAGGAATGTTATTAGCAGTTCATTGTCTTTCACAACCAGGTGCTATTATACATTTGAAACATTACAGTGGCCAAAAGGAACAGGACAGGAACAGACAGTGTCATTGGTTATAGTGGAATTCTTTGGGAAGCTTGGCTTTGGGACTGTTGACTAGTTAGATCTTTGGTGTCTGAGGGAAAGGTATGTGAGCTCACTCAGAAAGCAAAACCATCAATGGCTGTGCCTAGAGAGGAGACAATGGGAATCCTGAAGGAGAACCAGGGCCTTGTTGCAATATTCCAGCCCAGATAACTGTGGAGGTGAAGTGACACCTCCTATGGCTGGATCTTGGGCAGCAGCTGCTCTGTCGTGTTTTCAGATGTCTTCTCCAGTTCCATGATGTGAAGACTAAGGTAGTCTCTCCAAGCCCCACTCAGCAGTGAGGATAGGGCTGGTGGGTCCTCCAGGGTCAAGTGGGGAAACATGCGTGTTTCATTCTTGAGGGGGAAGCTGCACTTCTCCACGGCATGCCTTGTGGTCCCAGGGGTCACCACAAAGAGGCGGCAGAGCCATGGCCCACCAGCTACCTGGCAGGATGGTTGTCTGGTGAGGTTCTTCAGCATTTGACACAGGATCCAGTCCTCAGTCCCACCCATATCCACCACTTCCACAGGTGAGTGGAGACCAGGGAGGTGTAGAAGGTGCTGAGGGGGCATGTAGGTGTGAGAAAAGAGGAGTGTGTAGTGGGTAGGCACACTTGGGAGCCCAGGTGTGTGGACCACCTGCTCCAAGTACTTTAGACCAGGTACCAGGCCCCCCTGATGCAGGCAGCCAAAGAAAAAGGCACCCAGGGCGTTGGAGAGGACCAGAGTGCCCTTCCAGGGCACAGGTCGGATTCGTGGACTACAGAGCAGAACCAAGGGCACGATGAGGGGGATCAGGAACCGAGCTTCCTGATGGCTAAAGGCAGACAGCAGGGCCAGGGGTATGAAGTAGAGGAGAAGAAGGTAAGACCTGGGGCTCCACAGCAGATCCCTGGCCCCTGGTGTCTTCTGGAGGCCCATTTGTGCAAAGACCCGGAGGCCTACTTGCAGCTCTTGCCACGCAGCCTGCAGCGCCTCAGCATGCAACACACCAAAGAGCAGAAAGCCATTGACTGCCACGTGAGTGAGCCGCACGTGTGTGCCATGCTTTGCGAGGTTTTGGGGGTCCAGGTTGTAGTGCAAGAAGTTGATGGGTGTCAGGACAAGGCTACTGGATCTAGAGAGGCTGGAGAAGTACCAACTGTCTGAGACTACAAACACCACTGCAGTGAGGGCCACCCCAGGCAGCAGTGCCAGTGCCTCCCGGGTCAGTGCTTTGAAACCAGGGTTCATGGTTCCGCGACTGCCCCAGAGGAAGAGGGGAACTAAAGCGAAGGCCAGAAAAGTGGGCCGGTTGAAGAAGCCAGCAGCTACAATGGCCCCAAGAAGCCAGCTGTGCCACTGTGGCCCTGGGCTAGGCTTGTTGGGCATGGGGTTCCATGCCACATGAGGGGACACCAGGACCAGCAACCACGTGAAGAGTAGTCCCTCGATGGCATTGGAGAAGGTCCTTGTGTAGAAAACCAGGGTGACGTAGGAGCCAGACAGCAGGGCCAGGGCGTTCCAGCGATCTGCCCCCCACAGAGGGGCTAACTGGTACACAGCCCCATCCAGAGCAAAGGAGAAGGCAGTGAGGAGGAGCCGGGGCCCCACCAGCAGCACATAGCCACTCACCGGGCCAGGCCATGGACCCAGCTTTTCCCAGAGCCTGAGCAACCAGAAGGCTGAGCCTGAGGTCAGCAGTGGGAAGACCACCGTGCGGCAGGAGCTGCTGGGGTAAAACTCCCAGGGCCGTGTGGCCTGCACTCCCAGGATGTCTTCTGCAGAGAGAGAGGCAGAGGTGAGCCAGTTCTAAGCTCAGGGGTGTACACCCCCAGCTTGTCTGCCCACTAGTAGACACTCCTGCATAACCCCTGAGACTGGACCAAGTGGATTTTTCTTCCTTGATGAGGTACATTTTACGGGAGAAGTTGACTGAAACAGATGCCCAGGTGGGTTTGACCTGACTAAGCCAGCTGTGGAAGAGCAATTTTCTCCACCTGGATACAGAGGAGGCAAGAGAAGATCGAAAGCATGAAAATGATTCAGTGATTCTTTTACCTCCTAGGATGGAAGAGGCTGTTAGCAAGGAATGCAGGTGGCCTCCAGGCGCTGATGGTGAGGAAATAGCCACCGCTGTTGTGTGAACTGAATTCTGCCAATAACAATGAGTTTGGAAGCCATTGTTCCCCCACCACTGCCAAACAAGAACTCAGCCCAGGGCTAGGAAGGTAGCTTAGTGGTAGAGTGCTTGCCTAGCATGCATGAAGCCCTGGGTTCAATTCCTTAGTACCACATACACACAAAAAGACAGAGTGGGGGCTGGGAAGGTGGCTCAGTGGTAGAGTGCTTGCCTTGCATGCATGAGGCCCTGGGTTTGATTCCTCAGCACCACATAAGCAGAAAAAGCCAGAAGTGGAGCTCTGGCTCAAGTGGTGAGCGCTAGCCTTGAGCTGAAGAGCTGAGGGACAGCGCCTAGGCCCAGAGTTCAGGCCCCACAACTGACAAAAAAAAGAAGTGGTACTGGTTAAGTAGTACAGTGCTAGCTTGAGCAAAAGAAGCTCAGGGACAGTGCCCAGGCCCTGAGTTCAAGCCCCAGGACTGGCAATTAAAAACAAAAACTCAGGCCTATCTGTTGGGAGCCGACAGTAAAGCTCCAAGGTCATCTTGACCCTTGTGCTCACTTGAAGGCACGTACAAGGAACTGGCTTTCATGAAAAACACCAGGTGTCCGGGTTTGCCTTGCTATGTCTGTAGAATTTGTTTTACTTTCTATCAGTTAACCTTGTCTTGTTTCTTTCTGCACCCTTGTTTTTATTAAAATTTTCCTTGCTTTTCTGCACTATGGTGACCTTAGGTTACCTCTTGACTTCTAATAGTATAAATAAGGAGAGTTAAAAATAAACAGGGCTTCAGTCTTGAGCTGCAGACCTCCCGACCCCATCCTTTGTCTTATGTCTTTATTTTTCCGTCCTCGCCCCCTAAATCAGGAGTCCCTTTCGTTGCCGGCTGGTTCCGGCACCTATCCATTCATTTCAACCTAGTGGTACCTTGAGCAGAGCAGAACCGGAGCCAGATTGCAAACCAACAAATGGGTGAAGTTGTAAACTGCTAGGCGTGTGATAGTTTGTTGTACAGGAAGGAAACTCAAGGTAGGTAGGTAAGGCCTCACCTTGTGGAGAGGGCAGAAAGAACCACTCCTGGGAAATGAGGTAACAGTGTTCACTGGGAAAGGGGTGAGGAGGAACAGAAGAAGGCTTTATTCCTCTTCTCAGGATCTCAGAGTCAAACACCCATCTTTATGATGGAGTTTGTCTGTGTCTCTGGAGAGAGGGGTGTGAGAGTAATGACCAGAAACAGACAGGGTAATGTATTCAAGCCAGGTATGATGGCACATGCCTATAATCCCAACATTTAGGAGGCTGAGGCAAGAGGACCACAAATTTGAGGCGAGCCTGAAATACTCAGCAAGACTCTCAAAAAACACACACATACACACACAACTTCCAAAATTTATGGCTGTGTGCATGGATCAAATGGT